AAATACAACAGAAAATAATAAATACGACATAGTGATGATGGCATATGCGTATTTGTGCCTTTCTAGAGGCACTTCCACTTCTTTTGTTTTTCCTGTACACTTGCCCACCAAACACTTGTTGCACATACATCAAAGGTTTTCTTTTCTTTTTGGTTTTTTGACGTTAAGTGCTTGTCAGTAAAAGATGATGAGCACTACTCTTGCAAAGTTAAAATTTAAACGCTTGTATTTTTTCAACATAACTTGGTAGTCTTGTTAAAGACTTCTTGATGCTCTCCTCCAAACACGTGGACCTTACATCTGGGCTTTCGCGGTTGTTTGCAGCGCCATTTGAAACACTACTTTTGAGTATGGAACGCGTTGTACCTGCAGGGCAGTGTAAAAGCCGATAGCGTGCATGAGCGTTCTCATTCGAAACCCATTTATTTTTGTTCCGCGCTTATAAACAACACAAAATCCGGACGCGCGTGAGAGCGATTAGGAGAGGCTGCCTCGGCGCGGTAATGACACGCGCGCTGGCGATATGCAAAGCGCGGTGCAGCAAGGGCGCTCCGCCCCACCCTGCCCCGGCCCCCGCGCCCCGGCAGGTCGCCGTTTTGGGGCTGTAAATCCACCGGCCCTTATCTCTGCCTTGCTGACACAATAAAGTTTCACTTTCCCCCGGCGTGTCGCGTGGCGCGCTGCGGCTGCGTGGCGTGCGGCGGGGAGCAGCCAGCGCTTCGCCTAGGATCAGGGACAATGAGCGAGCGTGCGCGCGCCGTCAAACGTGAAGTGGGCGCTTCCGGGGAAATGAACTCTCCCCCGGTGGTGGCGGTGTGGCTCCCTACTGCTCACCCTCACCTTTTTCTTATGTACCTTCCGCGCCGGAGGTGGCACCACTGCGCGCGTGGCAATATGAATCTTTGAGATGACGGCATTTCTCCGCCACGCGCTTGCACGCCGTGTGCGGCTGCCCCGCGCGGTGGCCCCTGCGCGTCGCCTTTCCAAACCGCTGCTGGACGACGACGTTACTGCGTGGCGTGCATGCATCGTGCGCACTGTGAAAATATTTGTCATGGCGGGGGACAATTTTTAGCAAAAAATCTGTTTCACAAGTATTTTAAAATGACAAATTTCTGATTCCTAAAATTTTTTGTCGAACAGTTTCGTCTGAGTTTTCCTTCAAATAACTGGTCATTAGGACCTGTTTCTGTGTCACAAATATCTGTCGAGGAAATTTATGAACACACGGCACACGACTTGAGTGGCTCGCCTACTGCGCCTTCGTTTATACTGTGTAAAAATGAAAGTTGTCATCTCTTACGTTTTTATTTGTTTGACAATGTACGCAACCAATTTGTCGTCGACTGTGCCGTGCTTCGAAAGCGTTTGCCAGCTGCCGACGCGCTGACCTGTAAGACGCAGCAGCAGCAGCACACAGCAGCATGCAGCATGCACTATACGCACTTTGCACCGACTGTGGTGCGCTGCTGGCCTGCTGAGCCTGTCGTTGCGCCTCTCCCATAGGATGAGTGTCCGAGGCCAGGAGGGCGCGCGCGCGCTGACGCTGTCCTCGGGGGGCTTTCACCCATCAGTAATAATCCCGCGAGCCCCGCCCGGACCCGCTCGGCCAGTAGTGTGCGCTTGTGCGTGCAAATGCAGCGGCTGCTGTAGACTGTGCAGCGGTTGTGCAGCGGCTGTTCAGCGGGTGGGGAGCTCTCGGCGAAATAAATGTACGCGCCAACGCGACACCCGTGCTTTACTCCTCAAGGATGTACGTCATGGGCTTATTATTTGTTAACGGTCGGTATATATCGCGTTAAGCCATACCGCGACGTTAAGAAATTATTTAGTTGAATATTTAAGCAACGTAGCCTGGAAGCACTTTCTTAAATTTGAACTTTAAAACACATTAAAAAATTTTGAAGCATGCTTTTTGGCGGGTAATTCAGTTGCTGTTCACAGTGTCCTGTACGCGATGCGTGTGCCTCGCGGCGCGGCTGTCCCATCGCGTCCCGCGAAGTGTGCCTCTCTATGCCGAGCCGCCGGAGGGCGTGTCCCCGGAGCCAGGCAGGCGAGGAGGGCGGGGCCCTGCGCGCCGCATTCAAACATAAATTAGAGCAGCCGGCGTTATGAAAACGACATTAAAACGAGACGCTTTGCTTTATTTTATATGCTCCGCCGTGGATGTGACACGGTCGCCCCGTCGGGACACTTTTTAATGCGATATCCCTCGCGGGGTGGCCGCGGGCGCGGACAGGGCTGCTGTTGGGCTATGCGGCCCGCGGGCCCGACCCGACCCGGCGGCCACCCAAAGCGCGGCAGAGTGGCGGAACGACGGCCTCAATGACACACACACACGCACGTTAACACTCACGCACACAAACCACGGCGGCGTGGCGTGGCGTGCGGAGAAAAGTCCATTTGGAGGTCCGCCCCGTTTGCCTACCGCATAGGGCGCGTCCTCTGGCCTCCTACTTCTATAAACCCTTCAGCGTCATCATTATTTTAATTACGAGTTTTTAAACGCCAAATTAAAGCAACGCAATTTTTGTTTTTGCATCCCTCTCGGCAACACAATTCTAGAACATACACTTGTGGACACTCAGAGTTTTTCCTCGTCGCATAAGCGGCACGTATTCACCTTGCAAAGTGCCAAGTGCCAGCCAGCCCGGCAGCTGCGAGCTGCTTTGCGCGTTCAGCTGCCCTTTCACACACACTTTAATTGCCCCTGACCCTTTGGGCTGAGCCTCCCCCCTCCGCTGGCCCCGTGAGACTTGCAGATGCTAAATCACGCGCGCTTGAGCAGCTTGCAAGTCATGTTTGGCGGGGCGGGGCGGGGCGGAGCGTGGGGTGAATGTCGGATGCTCCCGTGCGGCGGCGGCGCGGCGGTCCTGGTGTGCCTTCCGGAGCGCGTGCGGGAGGAGGAGGTGCGCGAGGAGGGAGAGAGAGGGAGGGAGAGAGAGGGAGGGAGAGAGAAGGAGGGAGAGAGAGAGAGGGAGGGAGGGATGGAGAGGGGCTAGAGGAGGGTAATCGTTCCTCTCCTCGCCTCTCGGTGCAACTTTAGGGCACCTCCACCAGCCCGCCTCACGCCGGCTACCGCAGCGGTGCGGCGCTGTACAACTTGTACTTAGCTCCAGCATGCACCGATGAACAGCCTAGATATCGAAAACCGACAGCCCGCCTTGCTGCTCTGCGCCTCTGCCTCTGCTGCCACTGGCGCTGCTGCCGTTGCTGCTCGCTTTCGCGTACGCTTCGGCCCTCCGTGCACCGTGTAGTAACATACCCGCTGCCCCGTTAAACTTCTCAAAACGTTTGGGCCGTCGCGGTGGGGCCGTCGGCTTGAAAACCTCTCCTCCTCCGACAGGAAAGGGAGGGTGCTTCTCTCCAAACTTGCTCCTCTCGCTCGGACACACACACGCGCGCGTTCACTTTCGTTGGGGGGCGCCGAGCGCCGCGGAAGGTCGCGTCGCCGCGGAGGGGCCGCGCGGTCGCGTCGCGTGGCTGAGCGTGGCGGAGCGTAGCGCCCGAGTCCTGCTACACGCCGTCGCGAGTGTCCTCCTCACTCCCCTCCCCACTGCCCCTCTTTCCCCAGAATGCACCGTACCAGAATGGATGGAGATGGGGAACACCGCGGCCGGCGGGAAAAGGGGGGGGGGGGGCGTCAGCTGTTCGACGTGTGCCGGTCTAGAGGCCTGGTCTAGAGACTGACCAGACCTATAGGAGACCAGCGCTAGGCCCTGCTCGCAGGTAGGCCCTTATTCCGACCTACATCATGCGTCGTGGCCGTCCTCTATTCCGGCGCCCCGCCACGCCCCGCCCCGCCCCACCCCGCCCCGCCACGCCCCGCCACGCCCGGCGGGCTTGTTCCGCTCGGCGCCCTACCCGCTCGGCTCGGCTCGGCTCGGCTCCTGCTACACAGCGCTGCTCGTCGGACGGCTCGACGTCGAAATGTGGAGCAACGCATAAACGTTATTGGTCCAGGTCAAGGGCTCGGGCCCGGCCGGAGCCTCTGGAGCCCGGCTGGACAACGGCCGGAGAAGCCTGGCTCGTTGGTTGGCCCGCCCGGACCACTTCCCACTTTCGAACGTTGTTGACAACACGCACGGGCCAGGGGGGCGCCGCCCCCCCCCTCGCGTCGGGTAATTAAGACACATCGGCTCGGAGCGCCCCGGAGAAAAGCATTTGTGATTAAGTGGAGACCCGACCTGGACCTGCCCAACGGGCGCCCGGTCCGTAGTAGTAGTGATAACGCGCGCCAGGCACGCACCACTCTCGATTGAGGCGTCCGTCAAGATAGCCTCACGCGACGACGACGGAGTGAGTGGT